ATAATAAAGAACTTGAAGTAGAAGTAGTTTTAGATTCAAGACGACACCAAAATAAGTTAAAATATCTTGTCAATTGGTACAAATATGATATTAATGAACGTACATGGTAACTAACAAAAAATCTTACAAATGCATTATAGAAAGTCAAAGCTTTTCATCAATAATATCCATCAAAACTATGATGAAAGACAATAAACCTTTTTTTTAAAAGAAATACAATTCAAAAAAGATTACATTCAACTTTTTATCTTTGTTTGTAGTTTTTGTATAATTTTGGCATAAAAGAGATAGAGAATCAACACTTAAAAAATTCAACTTAAAAGCCATCAATTATTGATTTATTGAATAAGATATTGTGATTAATGCAACCTTCAAGATGATATAATAGAGATGAAGATCTTCAAGAATGACATATTCCTCCTTGAATACATGACAAGATATAATGTCTTTGGTACCACGACTTGAGAGAAGACTCTTAATATTTGGTGATTTTATTGGAAGTAGATACAACTCCTAATGATATTACAAATGTTTTGTTTGAAAGAAGTTATGAGAGTTTCAACAATGATTAAATCACAAGGTGGTCTTTCCACCTTAAAATGACAAATTATCAATGGTTGATAGGACCTATCAACTATCTTTGAAGAGAATAAGATCAAAGTACATAACAAATATAACTTATCGTATGTAAGACTTCCTCAATATATAATCACTGCTCCTTGTAAAACTTGTTTTTAAAAAGGGAAATAATGTGATGGATATATATCAACTATAACTACTACCTAGGTAATATGAATAGATAGAAGTAGGTAAAAGTAGATGAATTTCATAATACCTTCTGGAGAAGCTTCTTAGATATTGTTTTGAATTTACATGTATTTGTAATTGAATGGTAGATTAAAAACTTAGTCAACAAGCTAACCACATACTAAATGTATTAGTAGCTTGTGGAACAAGCTAACTATGTGGCGCTGATATAAAAAAAATAACCTTACAAGTTAAGATACATGTCATATAAAGTCAATACATTTTTGGAGGTCCTATAGAACATCACCATATAGATCTTAAATAGATAGTATATATAGAGGTAATAGTGAAGCCTTTTTCATTCTTATCAAATCCTTTCTTGTCTCTAATCTAAATTCAAGAATCTAGTTTTCTTATCTTTTGACAATAGCCATTTCAATTTCTTTTATATATATATATATATATATATATATATATATATATATATTATTACTTTTCTTTTGATATGGATTTTACAAGTTTATGCATCTTCTTTTAATTCATATCCTTGATAATTAGTCTATTTTTTAATATTCTATCAAAATATCTAAGAATTTATTTGGTTGTTTAAAAATAAATTAATTTAGGATTATTCACATATTGACTTACTATACTCAGAACATGACAAATATCTGGTCTTGCATTTGTTATATAAATTAAGCTTCTCAAAATTACCTTATACAACTAAAGATCTAATTTAGATATTCATATTACTTTTCAAAATATAGTTTTGGTATACACAAACAATGTGCAGGGATTATAGTTTAATAAGCTAAATTTTTCTAATACTTATTTGATATATGATCTTTCATGAACATGGATTCTTAATAAATAATATTCAAATTTTGCACCTAAATACTATTATACTACTTATAGATCAATAATTTTAAACTCTTCTTATAAGAAAACATATTTTCTATTCAATTCTTCTTTATTATAAACACTAAGTAATAAATCATCAACATAGAAAAGAATCATGATTTTTTTTTCTAACTTTGATAAAGTAATCAAAATTTTAGTCAACTTTTCTTTTTATTAAACCTTGATTTTGCATCCATACATCAATTCTCTCAAACCAAGATTTTTGTTCTTAATTTAATCTGTATATTATGCAATTGACCTTACATACTTTAGTTAGAAATCTATATCTTGAAAAACCTTTAAGAATCTCTATATATATATCATTTTTTATCACTATGTTCAAAAAGATTTTTACATTTATTTGATATAATTTCAATGATTTTATATTACCAATAAAAGCACTATTTAAATATTTAATCATCGTACTATCCATAAAAAGATATCATCAATTTTTTTTTTTTGTATAAATATTTTTGCAACAAGTCTTATTTTTAATTTTAAGATTTTTCTATCATATTTTTTTTTACTTAAAATATCTATTTTTCATTTATTGATCTTATCTAAGATTATCTTTTCATAATTTTCTGAATTCTATTCTTTAATATTAAGTTCTTTTCTTTGTTTATAGCTACTAGCCATCTTTTGATCTTTACTTCTTTTTTTGAAGCTCGTTGGTTCTTCTAGAATTTTTGAAATGAATATCTAATAATTTCATAAAGTTATAAATAATCATTTATTTTGTATTGACTATTCTCTATCACATGGTCTTGCTTCTTTATTCATGAATAGTTGTGATGAGCATATATGTTTATCCCAATAGTTACTTATATGATTAGATAGAAGTAGGTAAATTTAGATTAATTTTATAAATTCTTCTAGAAAAGCTTCTTAGAAGTTTCTTAGACACAGTTTTGACTTTAGATGTGTACTTATCAAGACCTTTTTTCAATCCTTTTTCTTACAAGATTTACATAATATATGCCCTAAAAATCAAATAAAAGAAAAAAAAATAAGACTTAAATGGTCACCAATGTCTAACAAAGGTGACTTTAAATATATAAAAGACACTATCAACAAAAACTAATCATAAAAGCCACAACAAAAAAAAATAAAGTTATATAAATTCTAATAGTAGTTCTTTAAACAACTTTCTTTTGAAGTAGTAATCTAATTATATTCTACAACTAATTAAAATCCACTAACATGGCTCTTACTATGTTACTTAGTAAATTATATATCAAACATATAAACATAATATTTTTATATGGTAGCCAAACCACAACATGACAATATATCCCTTCTTGAGTCATATAAGATAGTAAATATCTTGAAAAGATGATAAATGCCACCTCTTCTTATAGAAGTGGATAATAATCAAGAATTTGAAGTAGAAGAATTCAAGACTATACTAAAATAGGTTGAAATATCTTATTCATTGGCATGGATATGATATTAATGAATGCACATGGGAGTCGGTATAGAATCTTATAAATGCAACAAAAAAGATTGAAGCCTTTCATTGACGATATCCTACAAAACCAAAATAAAGAATTGTAAAGATCCATGAAAGATGATGACTCCTCCTTATGAAACTTGTTTTTAGAAGAAGGAATAATATCATGGACATATACATTTATCCCAATAGTTTCTTATATGGTTAGGTATAAATAAATAAATATAGATTAATTTCATAAAGTCTTCTAGAAAAGCTTCTTAAAAGCTTTATAGATGCGGTTTTGACTTTAGATGTATTTCTAGATTAGAAACTTAGCCAAAAAGTTAACTATGTGTTGATAGCTTGTAGAATAAATTAACTTTGTATAACAACTTATGAAATAAGCTAATTATGTGGCACCAAGTGTAAGCATAATTAAAAACTCCAATGGTTAGTTACAATTCTTTTTGTAATTTTTAACATATTTTTACTAATTTTAATGCTGATATAACTAATTAATAGATCCAAATTAGTTCTTTAGTTAATTATGACTTTCATCATATTTTTAGGTTGTTAACTAGATAGAAACTTCTAATTAGTAGATTGATTGATTATTTTAAAATTCAAAAAAAAAAATAATAAATTTAGAAGGTCTATGATTTCTTTTCTTGAATTATTTTAAATCTTTTTCTTAGTGATAAAACTAAAATTTTAGTAGAATTCCTCTTCTAATTCTTAAGAATTATATCTTAAATTAATCGAAAATCTTAATTTTTAACCAAAAGCTAATTTCTAATTTGACTATAGTTAGAAAGTACCTTAAACCTGATTGTTCTATCTTCTTAATTAATTTTGAGATTTTTAAGCTTAAATTTCATTTTATAATTTAATTGGATTAAAAATATAAAGTATAATTGTTAAATTAATGATGATCTTAAAAAGATGGAGAAAAACTAAATTTTTGGTGGAGTTTCCTCTCATAGTGATTTTAATTATAACTTGAAGTTGAAAAAAAAGAAAAATTGGAAAAAATCACAAATTCAAGGCCAATTTGCACTTAGGTTTTGGATTTGCCAAGAGTTCATGCTTAAGGGAGTTTAAATTGAAGAATGGTGATTATGAAGGCTTTGATGGTAAGAACCCTTGCTGATTTCCAAGTAGGCTAATCTTCCAACTTTCATCTTTTAAAAAAAAAAAAAAAAAAAAAAAAAAAAAAATCTTAACATCATGATAGTGCTGAACTTAAATATTTAAGGTTGTTTATTACTGAATTTCTTATCTTATAGATGATTTGCATCTCCACATTAATTAATATTGAGCTCTAATGTAAGTTATAATCTAATTAAATCAAATTTAAGTGAGAGGAGAAAAATCCACTCACACATATATAGATAACTTATCTTGTAAGTTAAGACATATAGCAAGCAAAGTCAACATGTTTTGGAAGTCCTATAGGACATTGCCACGTAGCTCTTAGTTGAGAGTATATATGGAGGCAAGAGTAAAGCCTTCTTCACTCTTATCAATGTCTTTCTAGTTCTTAGTCTTATTTTAAGACTTCCTAGTCTTCTTATTTTTAGCAATAGTCATTCCAATTCAATATTATACCATCTTTGAGTGACTTTCTAGTTCCTTTCAGTGACACAAGAGTGTATTAAGGATTTTTTTTCTTCAAGATTCATGTCCTTCACAAAAAGCCAAACTCTAGTTATCATCTCCACAAGCATGAAACGCGCGGCGATACATACCCCCATGGTCATAGAGCACCACGTCCATACAAAATACCCCCCGAGATCGCGCGGCGACAGATATCGCCATGGTCATCGAGTACCACGGCCTTGGGATCTGTGCACGCAAACGCGCGGAAGGCGATGGCTTATTCCCACACCGCGCTGAGGCAGCAAGAGCAAAGCAGCAAATGTGCGCCCACGTCATCGAGCAAGGGTGATGCTCCTCGACAGGGCTAGTCATCGCGAGCTAATTACAGAACGGGACGCTTGGGAGCTGATCGAAACAAACCACTGTGTTGATATCTCTTACTTACAACAGCTGCTGTTTTTTTTTTTAGAACAGTCCGGAGTTGGAATCTCTGCATTGAGCCAGTAGGATTCATGGGGTTTTGAGGATTTTGAGGTTTCTAGTATTTCAGTGTGTTGTTTCTCAACTTGGACGGACGATCGCGGATTACTATGGCGATGCGGATGAAGTATTGATGGGAGTAGAGGAGTGATTGCAATTGCTGTTATCATGAGGAAGCGCGACTTGGGAATTTTGTTACTGTCCGCGTTGGCCATTTTCTTCTCGCTCCAGGTATGTGGCGTCGTTACCCACTGAAGGTCTTTATCACCACGGTGTTGATGCGATGTTTGCATTTAGAGATTTTTTTTTTTATTTTTTTTTTATTTTTTTTCAGAGTATGGGTTTTTGGTGGAGAAGAGTGATTGGGTCTGAAGCTCTCTCTTTGACGACGCATACCGCTGCAGCGCATTAAGGGCATGTTGGACTATTTTTGTGAAGATCTTTTTTTAATCCTTAGATAGTAGTGATGGTGATATTGATAGAAAGAAAATCTCACTACTAGTTTTTGCATGATTTATTCTAAAATTGAATATTGGATTAGGATTTTTTATCTAAGGCTCTAAATTTGATTCAATTGACGATAGTTGGATGCTTGAAAATAAGTCTTCATAAATAATATTTTTTTTCTTTTTGATATTAGTATTTTTTTCCATCACATAATACATCACTATTAATAATAATTTTTTATTTTATTAGATTAAATAGTTTATATGCCTTTCTTTTCTTATTAATGTCTACAAACAAGCATAGTTGGATTTTATTATCTATCTTCTTTTTATTTTTTTTTAGAATGTATATTTATACAAAGCATCCAAATATTTTCAAATAATTAATGTATGGAATTTTACTTGAATACTTATTTTTTTATAGTCACTTCATTATTAGCTCATGTTGGATCTTAATTCACCAAGTAATTAGTAGTTACAATTTCTTTTGGCTATAGAAATAGGAGTAATTTATATTCATTTGTCAAGTTCTTTTTTTATTCAATCAAGGTCATATTTATTTTATCAATTTTTTTGTTCTATTGTAATATAGCAATTGAATTAGCTCTCTTCTTATTTTATGATCATGACAATAATTTTTGAATTCAACTAACATATATTATCTTCAATAATTTATTCAAAATATTTACATTCTATTTCATATTTAGCAACAAAGTATTCTTTAAATTATCAAAAAAAAAATTAAAAGTTTTATTCTTATTTTTTAAAAGAATTTATTTTTATTTTTTTGTAAAAAATCAGCTATGAATACTAAAATATATTATGATCCTTCCAACAAAGGATTGATGTATTAGTCCTACTAAATCTAAGTAGATCTTTTGTCATGCCTTAATTGCACTAATATTAAATCTACAAAATAATCTTTTTCAATGTTGCCTTCTTGCTAAGCAATTTTTACATACTTTATAATAAAGAATAATTTTTGGGAGTCTACTAACTATATTATATTTTGATAAGTAACCCAATCCAAAGTAGCTCAAATGTCTATAGCACTTGTCCCAAAGTGTGGCATTGTCTTTCTATTCTAAAAAAATTAATTCAAATGATTTATAAAAATAATATGATCTATTTGATGGATCTTGCATTCTTAATGCAACTACATGAGTTTAATTGAATTTATCTAATATCCAATAATGACAATCAAAAAATATCACTATGAATCTAATATTTATAATTTAGCCCAAAAAAACTAAATTCTTTCTCATGCTTTATACATACTTTTTAATTTTATTTTAGATTAACTAATTTTGATAGTAGCAATGTTGATTCTTTTACAATAAAAGAATTTTTTCTTTCATTCTATATTTATTAAAAATTACAAGATTAAGCTTGAGTTTCATTTATTTTGCTGTTATCTACAACTGATATCTTGAAGTACCACAATCTAAATACCTGTCAAAGACAAGAATATGATGAAAATAAATAAACAAGTAAGACTTCTCTCAAAGAAAGATGACAAAATAGAAATAACTTGATATGTATATTAAGAAAGAAACTAGAATGGCTATTTCCAAAAGCCAAGAAAACTAAAGACCCTTGAAACTAGATTGGAAGCAAGAAAGGAGTTGACAAGAGTGAAGAAGCCTTCACTCTTGTTTCTATATATACTATCTAATTAGGGACTACGTGGCAATGTTCTATAGGACCTCCAATATGTATTAACTTTGTAGGACACATGCCTTGACTTACAAGGCAAGTTTTTCTACGTGTGGGCCACATGATTAGCTTGGTCTTCAAGCTAACAACATATGTGGCACATGGCCAACTTGTTGACCACGTTTCTAATCCAAAAAGTCAATTAAAGATACCTATAAAATCAAAGTGGCATCTATGAAGCTTCTAGGAAGCTACTATAATAAATATTATAGAATCAACTTATTTTTATTTATTTTTACTTACTTTTACTTATTTCTATCTATTTATACATGTAATTACTAGCTTACATGCATATGTCCATGACATTATCCTCCCTTCTAGGAACAATTTCCACGAGGAGCGATCATTATATGTTAAAGAAATCTATGATGTGACAAATTATATTTGCCACATACTCAAATCTTTATTCTTTTTGAAGATGATTGATAGGGCCTCTCAACCATTTGGTAGTGTCTCATACCAAGGCAGGAAGACCATCCAATTATTTGATCATTGTTGAGGCCTTCATAACTTCCTTCGAATAAAACATTTGGAATACCGTCATGAGTTGTTCCTACCTCTAATAAAATCATCAAACATCAAAAGTTCCTTCTAAGGTCATAATATCAAATGCTTTGTATCTCGCCATGTATTCAAGGAAGAACATGTCATTCTTGAAGTTCTTCATCTTGATTGCATCGTCTTGAAGCTTGTGACAATTGTAATGTTTCATCCAGTAGGTCAACAAACAAAGGCTCTTGAGTCAAATCCACTAGTTGTTGGTTCTCCATCTCCTCAGTGTCATAACTACAAAGAAGCTACAAACAAGAATTGAAAATAGAACGTTATCTTGCTTATATCTTGTTTCTTTCATAAAGAAGGTTTTCATCTTGATTTTGATGGATGTCAGCGATAAAAAGCCTCCGCCGCCTTTGTTGCATTTACAAGATTCTTTACTAGCTCCCATGTGTATTCACTAATATCATATCCACGCCAATAGAAAAGATTATTCAATTTATTTTGGCACCGCCTTGAATCTAAGACTTCTTCCACTTCAAACTCTTCATTATTGTCCATTTCTATAGAAGGAGGTGGAGCTTGTCTTCTTCTTAATATGTCCATTGTCTTGTATGGTTCAAGAAGAGATACGTGGAATATTGGATAGATTTTCATTGACTCTAATAGATACAAATGATATGCAACTAGATTGATTTGTGCAGAAATAGAAAATGGTCCAAGCCTTTGATAGTCCAACTTATCACAATGACGAAAAGTCTTGATATTGCGACAAAGTAACCATACCTTATCACCCATGTAGAATGGTGGTTGTTCCTTTCAATAGACATTTACATTGATCTTTTGTTGTTCTTAAGCTTATTTTAACTGCACCTTCATCATTGCATGTAGCTCTGACAAATGAATTACCAAATCTTTTACAGCACGATTATCAACTTTTGAAAAGTCAAAAGTATCAAGTCATGGATGATAACCATAATTAACAAAGAAAGGTGTTTGTTTTGTAGAAGAATGTATCATGTTATTATAAGCAAACTCTGCCAATGACAAAAGAGTTGTCCAATCATCTTGTTGGTAGTTAATAGTACATCTTAAATATTGTTCCAAAACTTGATTAACATGCTCCGTTTGTCCATCAATTTGAGCATGGAATGCCGAAGATAGTTTTATATACACCTTTAGAATCTTGAAAAGAGTCCCCCAAAATCTTGATACAAATTGAGTTCCCCTATCTGATATTATAACCTTGGATAATCCATGATAGTGATAGATATTATCAAGAAAGAGCTTAGTTGTTTCTTCACCTATGATGGATTTTATACATGATACAAAATGTGCCATCTTGGTAAAACGATCTATTATCACAAATATAGAGTCATAAGAACTTGAGATTGGAAGATCCGCGATAAAATCCATAGAAATAGAAGACCATAGTTATTCTAGAATGTGTAATGGCTGAAGAAGTCCATAAGGTCAATGACGAGGAGTTATTAATCTCGAGCAAACATCACAAGATTATACAAAATCTTTGACTGCTTTTTATATTTGAGGCCACCAAAAGTCCCTAGATATTAGTTCCAAAGTTTTATTGTACCCAAAATGTCCTACTGCTTGAAAGTCATGACGAGCTTGAAGAACATGTAATCGAGCTTCACCTTCTAGAACATATATGTGTCACTCAAAATATAGTAGATTCTTCTTGAATTCAAACTTGGAAGTATCATGATACTTTGAAGGATTTTCCTTAATATCACAAATAAGAGGATCAAAAGAGATACTTGTCTAAACTTACTTAATGAAAGTTGAATCAACAGTTAGTATTGATTTCATTGCTTGAAGATGAAGATGCTCTAGCTTCAAGATAATTATCCATTGTTGATCAAAAGTAACATTTTCTTCCTTTGGTATAAGATAAGATCATCTAGAGAGTACATCTAAAAAATCTTGTTGTTTTCCTAGTGAATAAGTGATCTTGAATTTGAATCTTGACAAAGACATACTCCAACGGACTTGGCGATGATTCAAAACATATAATGACATAAAATATTTAAGATTCTTGTGATCCGTATACACGGTGACTAGGCTAGAAGCACCTTCTAGATAATGGCACCATTTTTGAAATGAATCCATGATTGTAAGAAGTTCTTTGTCATGGATTTCGTAGTTGATCTTGGTTGCTGAAAATTTTTTGGAATGAAAAGCTATTGGATGAAGTTTATCATCTGTTCCCATTTATGACAATATGGCACCCAAAGCAAAATCTAATGCGTCTATTTTCATAAAAAATGGCTTAAAAAAATTGATGTAATATAAGATTGGTGCAAAAAAAAAGGCTATCTTCAAAGCTTCAAATGCTACTTTTGTTTCTTGATTCCATTGAAGTTTGTCTTTACAAGTCAAACGTATAAGTAGAGCTGTAACTTGAGAGAAGTCTTTGATGAAGATCCGATAGTAGTTGGCAAATCCCAAAAAGCATTAGACATCTCTTACCATTTTTGGGATCTTCCAATCCATAATAGTTTGGATTTTTTTAGAATCCATCATAAGTCCATCATTTGAAATAATGTATCCTAAGAAGTTGACTTGAGTAGTGTGAAATATACACTTTTCTATCTTGGCATAGAATCCCAAATCTCTTAATTTTTGTAATACATAATGAACATGAAGTTCATGTTCTTCTATGTTCTTAGAATAGATTAAGATGTCGTCTAGGTAACAAACAACAAAATCATCTAAAAACTCCTGAAAGACATCATTCATTAGATGTTGGAATGTTGTTGATGCATTTATAAGTCCAAAAGACATGACGTATTCAAAATATTTATACCTTGTTCGAAACGCAGTCTTCTATTCATCTCCTTCTTTGATGCGTACCAGATTGTATGCTCTTCGTAGATCTATTTTTATATAAAACTTAGCTTATTTCAACTGACCAAGGAGTCTAGATATCAAAAGTAGCGGATATCTATTTTTGATAGTGATTTTGTTGAGTCTTCGATAATCGACACACATCCGTAATGATCCGTCTTTTTTCTGCACAAATAAAATTAGAGCTCCTCTTGGACATTGAGAATGGTATATGAAGTTCTTGGCCAAATTCTCTTCAATATACTCATTGAGTTCAGCCAACTTATTTTGAGTTAAATTATAGATTGGTCCAAATGGCGGTTGTACTCCTTCTTGAAGGTCAATTGAGCAGTCATATTAATCATGTTCTGAAAGAGTATCTGCATTCTTCTTCTCAAATACATCTTGAAAATCTTGATATTGGCTTGGAATGCCACTTGAAGTCTTTCCACTGGTAGAAACAGGTGTGGCATAAATAATACAAGGTGATCCTTGTTTTGCAGCATACAAGAAAGCTCTTGCACCTATAAATATAAGTTTAATTATACTAGACTTATGACTTTCTACTTGATTAACTACGCTCTTAGTTATGCTTTCAGAAAAGCCAAGACTACAAGAAGTCCAATTTATTTTACGATTATATTTTTTTAGCCACGATAAATCTAAAATGACTGGATTAGAAGGAGATCTAATGATATTAAATATTACAGAGCTACTATGACCATTATTTGCTATTTTTATAAGAAAGGTTTCATGAGTAACATCTCCTGAAGACAACTGACCACCATCTATGACTTCTACATAAACAGGTTTAGTTTTCTTCACTAAAAATATACTATATTTTTTAGCAAATTCTTCATCTATGAAACATGCTGAGGCTCGTGAATCTAGTAGGGCAAAGGCTTTGTGATATTTAGGTCCTAGAATAATATTAACCAT